CGGGATACTAACAATAGCATGAATGAAACGGCAAACGTTGGACAGTGGTTTGTGAACCTAAGAATTGGAACGGAAGAATGCTAGAGTGCCCAGGGCTGACGTTTCATTTTAAGCCTCCCTGGTTCTGGGGAAAATTCCCCCCCTCTATTATTGGTGCACATTTTCCAGAAAAACAGTACCCTGATTGCGGAGATTCACTGTACAACAGTAGTGAGCTAGACTACGGGGGTTGGCACGAACTACTAGGAGTGATCATAGCTTTGCTTGGTTGCTTAGTGCTTGCACATTCACGGGAGAAATTGGCAAGAGTTTCCACTAGCAAAGTTGGAATTACAGAATGATTCAACAAGCAATGACAGAATGACTACATCAGGCACCTAGCAACTCTGCAGCTAGCCTGGTCGACAGCCAGCACAGCTCGGTCGACCGCGCGCCAGCGTTGCGTAGAGGAGCCGCGCCAGCACTGCAGAAGAGCGACCTGCCAACGCTGCAGGTCGACGGCGTGCCAACGCTGCAGCAATGCGGCTGTCCAGCGTTGCCCCGTAGAAGACAGCAGTGCGCACGCTCGCAGGTGCGCGCAGACGATTGGCCCGACTTGCCCCGTTGTGCAGCTGTCGGCTGTTGTCTGCGCCTGACGAGCCACATCGACTTCGGGATACCATCCCGAAGTCGCCTTCGTCATCGCGACCTCGACGACGTTCTCTTGCCTCCGCAGAACTCGTCGAGCAGGTTACCCGGTCGACCTGGACACCACCAGATGCTCCTGGTCGACCACCAGGTGCCTCTGGTCGACCACCAGGTGCCTCTGGTCGACCACAGCTCCCGTCGAGCTACCCCCTGGTCGACGGACCCCTTCCGTCGACCAGAACTGCTCCGTCGACCTCCCGGTCGAGCTGCAGGTCGACGGGATGCTTCGCGGACCTCCCGGTCGAGCTGCAGGTCGACGGGATGCCCCCCCAGACCTCCCGGTCGAGCTGCAGTTCGATGGGATGCTCTGGAGACCTCCCCGTCGAGCTGTAGGCCGACGGACTGCTCCCTCGACCTCCTGGACGGCCTACTCGTCGCCCAGGCCAGTCAGTTGCGCCCGTCGAGCACCCCTGGTCGACGGAAGCTCCACAGTGACATCCTGCAGCTCGACGAAGCCCGTCGAGCAGCTCCTTCACTGCGAACGGTCGGCTGCTTCACCCGTACATCCGACCAAGTCGTCGGCGTTGCCCAAGCGAGGGCGGGGCTAACACCCAATTCCCGTTAACACTGATTTCTTAGGGTTGTAAAGTAATTAACTTTGATTGTTTGGGGTCGAGAACTGAACATCTGAGTAGTAACGCGCTCTTTTTTACCGGGAAAAAATGTCCCACTCTCCATGAAGCCTGCGCGCTGTGTTTCGCGCTTTTTGTGCACTCGACTAATTTGTGCAGGGCGGGTGCGATTGACCTATCTGGTGCGCGAGTATAACGTTTCCTTGTCTCATTACCATGCCCAATCGGATCTCTTCAGGCACGCTGCGACTATAAAGTTTTAGTCACTCTCAGAGGCGTGCATCCTGGAGCGAGTGTAAACGGGCGAGTCAAACTTGTTCGAGTCACAGATTTCCGTTGTAAGAGCAGAACTATTTCGACCAATCACAGCAACATATATCTGACATTGCAGATCCGCCCGATCACTTTGAAGGTATATCAGAAAGAAGTTTTTGAGAAACTTTGGCTCGATAAAGGGGAGGGGGGGGGATTCCCGCGATCCTTCCGAAGTGATCGGAAGGAAAGTTCTAAGAACCTTCTTTCCGATACCCCCGCATTCAGGGTCCACATAACGCGTACTCTACATAGACAGAGTCCGCAAGTACACTACTCTAAGCCTAGTTACAAGATTTCAGGGTTCGTTAAGTAACTTATATGATTGGATCAGAGTTCACAAGTTAAAAATGTCAGAATCCCAGCCACTAACCACTGGAATAAAAGGGCTTGTTTGTGTAGCGGGTGAGTGCGCCCATAACCCCTATGCCGACGTGCATGTAACCCTTCCCTAGGATCAATCGGGGATCTCCAGTGGACCTCTGACACCCCCTCGCACTGGGATGCCCGAGGTGCACATACCGGGACTCAAACCCGAGACCTTCGCTCTGATACCATGTTAGAATCCCAGCCACTAACCACTGGGATAAAAGGGCTTGTTTGTGTAGTGGGTGAGTGCGCCCATAACCCCCCAGGCCGACGTGCTTGTAACCCTTCCCTAGGATCAATCGAGGATATCCAGTGGACCTCTGAAAAAAAAAACTGTAATTGCAGGGACCACCAGGTGAGAAGCCTGTAATCACCCTGAAATCAGGGTAATTACCTGATAAAATCAGCCCCAAAAGTGTCACGTCGCGGATGAAAAATCTAAGAAATCTCTAAGGGATTGGATGAAGATAAGGTTGGGATTAAGGTTGGGGGCACTGTTTAGGGCAAACTCCCCCTGAACAGTAAAGTACCCTGCAACAAAGTCTTTTTGTTATATAATGTATTGTTGATTATACTCAAATGTGGAATCCATAGACAATTTGAGTGAGTTTGACGAAGTTATTTTGCTGCAAGTAACCAGGATGTAAAGTCGCCCGCTTTCGCCAACTCGAGGTGTTTCACCATATGAATCGGAAGACTTCATAAAGTCGGTGCCTGGGGTCCCACTCGGCGCCACGTCAACCCACTGTCCACGGATTCCTTGTTCCGCACGATGCGCCAGTTGCTTGCGAGAGCTGCGGGGCTCTCTTTCCGTTCCCGTCAGACTCAACCATTTCTGGATCACCCAGCACAACAAAAAGTTTTCGGTTCTTAAATTGACGTTTTAAAGGGCCGCTTGGTACCAAGTTACGAACCCTGTAGGCTGGGGTCGTTTAGAGGGTGATGGTGGCTAGCAGAGATGCGTGGGGCACAAGATCTGGTCACGTTTTCGCCACCCACCAGGATTGAGCTCTTCTCGTTAGCATATCATACCCGTTTTAAGCAGGGAGGTCTCAAAGTGTATTGGGTATCCTGAGAACAATACTATTGGACTGTCCCAGCATACCCAGCCAAGCATTCCCTGGTACACGTAACACGGAACAACAGCTTGCAATGCGGTTTGAAAGCATTTCACTTTTGAGCCATTCAAGGGTGGTTGCATGAAGAATGGTTGTTCTATCTATCAGTACACGGTTCTTGAAAAAGTTAGTGTCAGCCCGTAAAAGTGGCTGTAAAACCTGGAGAGGTGTTACAATGCGTTAACAGTCAGGTAATAAACGAGAGTACGGCCAACCGTGGTCGTTGCGAATGCATTCAAGACTCGTAAACGGAGACGAACTGAAATATGTTCGGCTACTCTCGTAGGTTACAGATGATGTATCGACCCCAGTGAGCTTCATTGTGAACACTTCCTCAAAATGCTTTGGTAGAGTTTCCGCCACCTCGTTCTTGCCACAGGGGCAAAGCGAAGGGGCCCTTGCGCATCGCCGCGAGTCCAAAGCAGACGCGCGGACCCTCCAGCACTCGCAACGCAGGGGCCATGCTAATCTCTGTATCGTTCCTTTACAACGATTCAGAGTTTCTTGGCTGCTCAACGATTCTTTTAGACCTCCATAATTTTCTTCTCACCATTTGTACAGAGCAAACCTCTCTACAGGAGGCTGTTCCACGGGACAGTTGAATAGCGTAGGTTTTGCGCACCTTCTTATAGAGGGTTGGCTTGTTTGCCATGTTCAATTTGCCCTGTTCAACCTTGTATCTGATTACGATCAATATACAACCTTCAACCTTCCAGCACTCGCAACGAATGGGGAGCAGCCTCGCGAAACACAACCATCACCGGCCACCCTTAGCGCGCATCCACACCCCCAGTCATCCGCACTCCCACCGCTTTTAGCCGGCCGAAACGCGGAAGCCCCCGAATCCCCCCGCCTAGCCCAACCTCCCTTTCCCCCCCTCCCCAGCCGCTTTCCCCTTGTTGGTGCAAGTGCAAGCGTCCAATTGCCAACATGGGAGCAGGAAGGGAGATACAGTACACCAGATGCCCGTTAGAATCTCACAACGTTTCTGGTCATTTCGGTGTATAGTGAGCAGCACTTTATCGTCAGCTCGCCGATATTCGCCACAGGCAAAATCGGGACTGTGGTGGGCAGGTGAAGAAATGTTACCAGCTTTTTCAAAATATCTCACGAACGGACGGATGCCAGCGTGATAAGCTGTTTGTTCAACGGCTGCGATCAAAATAGGGGCTTGTATCGGGCGTGCAACTGGCTGGTACTACTTGCAATTGGGCAGGCTGTCGAGATTTGAAACACCAAATGCGCGTACAGTCGTTGGGCATCGTGTGTACTGCTCTCTGCTCCGCGCTTATCTGCAGCAGCAGCGCTAGCGCTCCTTGGCGCTTTTCCGCGCTTCTCCGCGCTGTTCCGCGCTGCCCTGCTCCATACCTGCCGGTTTGGTGGCATTCACGACGAGCGACAAAGCGGCATTTCTCTCGCCTCCCTCGACCGACCATCGCTGCTCGGCTCTGCTCTACTCGCCTCTGCTTGGCCCTGCCTTTCCCCCCCCTTCGCCCCCATTCAGCTTGGTTTCGTTTGGTTAGGTTGGACTTCCCTCCCTGCCGCACCTGCTGCACTTCGTCCCTTGGTTCTCCACATAGCGATGGTGGTTCAGTATGGGTCTGGGACGATTGCCGTCCTGTATGTGTTGTCCCCCATTTCCGCGTCTCTCTTGGTCCATCCCAATAATTAGGCGCACGTTGTTCTCTTACGACTCTTGGTTTTATGATTTGTTACGGAGTAATGCCGGCCTCGTAGGTCAATGCTACTAGCTAGGGCTAGCCGCCTCGGTCATCACCACACATTCGTTAATTATCTTTCTCGAAGCTCTATCCATCGCCACCCAAATGAGCGACAGAAGCGCGTGTATAGCGCCGCTTAAAGCGCACGCGCAGCCAACTTAGTAAGACCAAACTCCCCCGAACCCGTCCGCGCTGCTCTTGCTGCCGTTGCTGCGCTCCACATGACGAGGGATAGCGGTCTTAGCAGCGCCAGCAGGCCCGGGCCCGGCGGTACCGGCAGCAACGTCGTCATGCCGCCCTCCTGGACGACTATGGAGTTTGGCGCTCCGGGTTCTCTCCTTTACCGCCTCCTATTCCTCGACAAGCAATATCGCGCCTTTTCCCCCTGGCACGAAATTCCCCTTCACGCCGCGCTCCCCCCTTCCGCCTGTCCCTCCCCTCCGCCCGCGCACGGGGAGCCGGGCCTATCCGCGCTGTCTTTTTTCTGCGTTACCCCGCGCGGAACGTGGGCAAAGTTCGAAATTGCCCAGGATGAAAACTTCACGCCGGTTCGAGTGGCGGAGCGGCAGCCAGGCGGGGGCCCCGCAAGATACGCGGAAAATTGCCAGTGGAACCTGGGCGTGTTACCGCAGACTTGGGGCGACCCGAGGGCGCCCAACGAAGAGTACGGAGGCCTGCCGTACGACGGAAAGCCAGTGCAAGTGTTCGACGTGAGCGGCTCGCGCGGCGCCGCGAGAGTCGGGGACGTGTACGTGGTGAAGCCGCTCGCCGCGTTTGCCGCCGTGAGTCGCGCGCCCGCGGTTTCGTGGAAGGTGGTGGCCGTGGCCGTGGACGACCCGCTGGCTCTGGAGCTGCATGACGTGGCGGACGTACATCGGAAGCTTCCAGGAACGCTCGAGGAGATTCGCGAGTGGTTACGGTTATCAGACTGCATGGAACCAGGTGAGAGATTTATAAAACTGTATTTAAAGAGGTAAGGCAGGCTCATCGCGGCTGGAGCTGCCGATTCTAGTATTTCAGTTTTAAGTCATCTGGTTAGGTCGGTGCCTTTCGTTTTTTGCTGCTAAAACTGAAACAGTTACCAGACAAACGCGAAGTTTGGCGACATTCGCTACTTCCGCTAGCCGAGGAGGCACCCATCGCGCGTCGAAACAGGACCAATGTCGATTAGGATGTCTCGACGGGTGCCAGTCGGGCTGATGCTGCCTATAGAAGGCATCGTTGTGACGAGAGCCGCGGAGAGCGGGCCTGTTTGAAGCCCTAGTCCATGTCCCTGTCCGTCGCCCGTCGCTCGTCGCCCTGCCCGTCTCCCGTCACCGGTTGCCCGTCGGCCCGTCGCCCGTTGTTCCGCTTTCTTTCTCCTCCCTCCCGTTACCTCCGCCGTTACTCACACCTCCAATATTTCTCCGACGCCGTCCGTCGACAGCGCTGTTGCCGTTATAGTCGCATTAGTTTGTCGCATTAGTTTCGGTTATCACGCTCGTGGAACCTAAGGTATAACCCTAGTAGTGCTAAGCGGTTGTCACCTTTTCTCCACAGTAACGCCCAGCATTAGTGTCGCGCAACCGTCATGACTAGCCCTGGAAGCGCCTGGCATTCGCTCTGCGCTCTTTCTCTCCCTCTCCCCCCTGCTTCCACGCCCTACACTCCCCCACCCATCCTTCCCACTCCCCCCGCCCCTCCCCTCTCTCCCTCCCCCCCCTTCCCTCTCCCTCCCTCTCTCTCTCTCTCTCTCTCTCTCTCTCTCTCTCTCTCTCTCTCTCTCTCTCTCTCTCTCTCTCTCTCTCTCTCTCTCCCCCCCCTCCCCCATCCCTCTCGCTCTCTCGTTCGCTCGCGCACCGTAAGCCGACCGCGGTTTGTGCATGCCGCCGTGCCATCCCCCCGAGTCATTCCGAGGCGTCTCAAACGTGCTTTTTTTCTTCGTTTTCTTTGTTAGCCTTAACAGCGTCCTTTCCCGCGAGTCGCTATTTATTGTTCAGTTGATGCGAAAATCGAGTCGTGTCTGGGATTGGGGAACCTATTCGAACCTTTTCATTCGCCGCCTCTATTTCTCGCCATCGTCACTGAACGCGTTGTTGACGTCACCTTTACACGTTATGGTGTTTTCTTTTACGTTGTCCCTCCCTTACTCCGCACTTCCTCTCGTCCTCTTTCGTATGATAATATTAATTATTTTCCTTCCCGCATCGCCTTGGTTCCCCCTATCCGTCTACTACCGAGCTCGTTCCCTCGATAAATCTCGCCGTGGCGTCACCCTTTGTTCAATCAGTCGCTTGCTCTCCCCCAGTCGTTTCCCACCGTCGACTGCTGTCCGTCCTTGCTCGCTCCGCTCGCGTTCCCCGCTCAGTCCAATCTCAGTCGACTCTCAGTCCGCCTCGTTTGAAACATCTCCCGCGTTCCGTCAGCTCAGTGCGCGCGCGACGCCGCACCGTGTCCGCGTCGCCTGTGAGGAACGCGCACTTTTTCGTTACTGGAAAGCGGGTCGAAGAGTTGCGGCTGCAGCCCGCAGCCCCTTTCCGTCCTCTGCGGTTTCCAGTTGTTCTCTCCTCCCTTGGCCAATGTGCGCTGTGACGTCGGTGTCGCGGGAACATCGCAACTCTTATGAAGATAAAAATATACGCATAGCGTATTCGCTGACGTCAAAGGAATCATAATGACGAACAGGAGAAAAAAACGGCCAGTAAGACGCATTAAACACCCGATGTGCATAAGAATGGGCATGGCTGTGCTTGCCTGTAACTTGGTTTCGAGGCGTCGGAATCTGACGCGTTTTGATTAAACACCCGATGCGCCTAAGCATGTTGCACGTTGCGCGGCTGCTGCTCACGCTTACACTTTTGCACTCACTAACGCTCATTTTCGCGCTCACTCTCCCCTCCGCCCTCTCTTCGCCCTCCGCGCAGTTCGCGCTATCCTAGCCCTCTTCCTCACTCTCTCCCCTCTCCCCCCCCCTCTCCCTCCCCCCCCCCACTCCCCCTCCTCTCCCTTTTTTGACATTTTGTTTTCCGCGCTTTCCGCGCGCACCCTCCGCGTTCCCCCAAATGAGGAACATCAAATCCCCCTGTTTTCCATAGCTGGAGGTTTGATCAGAAAAAACATTTTTCCGTCTATGTCACTGTGCTGTAAGCTATTGGCTAGCCGGTGACAGTGCCTCGAGAATTCGATCACTGTAATGAGAAACGCGTGTGCTCGTCCCTCTCAATGTGGTGCCCGCCCCCCCGCACTCCCCATCCCTTTCCCACCATTTAACACCCCTTCAACACCCCCTCCCACCCCAACCCCCCCTCCCCACCCCCAAATCCCATTCCATTTTACCTCCGTTTCCTGTTCGCGCCCTCCTCTCTGCCCTTCCCCCTCCTGCCCTCTCCCCGCCGAACACTTCAACTCATCCTGTCCCCTCTGCTCCCTCTCCCCACCTCCCCACCCTCCCGCCTCCCTTCCCTCCCCCCTCCGCGCCTCCCACGCCCGTCCCCTTCCCGTTTCCCCCCTTTTTCCCCCTCCCGGCCTCTCCCCATTGGCTCTTCCCCGCGCCCCCCTCACGCCGCGCCGCTCTAGGCGCCGAAGGCGTCGCGTTCGGCTTCAACGAGCGCGCATTGGACCGCCGGCGCGTGCAGGCATTGCTCAAGGAGTGCCACGTGGCATGGCAGCGCATGCACGCCACGCTCCCCATGCCCGAGCCCTGGATCCCGCGCTCCCGCCCGCCCAAAATCTCCACTATTGAAGCCTTCTGGGTGCCTTATACCGAGCGCCACAGCAACTCGGGGAAAGGCGCGCTCACCATCCCCCTTTCTGACCCCAACCCGCGGAGCTATGGGGGGAGCAGTAGCGGGGGGGGCGGACGGGGAGGGGGAGGTGCGGAGGAGGAGGAGGAAGCGGGGGAAGGAGCAGGCGCGGGCGCTGGCGCGGGCGCGGGGTCGGTATGGGAGGTAATGTCAGGGTTAGAAGCGATGCAGATGCTAACGAAGCTGCGCGCGCGCAAGCACCTGTCCCGCCCCGCGTTTTACCAGATGAAAGGGACCATCCCCGGAGGCCCGGGGGTCGCCCTGGGCGGCGCTGCCGGCAGCAAGGGGGGGTCCGGGCGCGCGGGGGGCGCGGGGGGCAAGGGGAGGCGGGGCAGCGCGGCTGGGGGAACCGGGGGAGCTGGGGCGGGGGCGGGCGCGGCAGCAGCGGTGGGAGCAGTTGGGGGAGCGGGTGCGGGAGGGGGAGCAGGAGTCGGGGCAGGCGGAGTGGGGGAGGAGGAGGGGCATGGTAAGTCCAAGTTTAGGTGGGGGAAAGCGGCTAAGGACGTGAAAGCATGCACGGTGCCTGCTGTTTCCACTGGCTCGCCTCGAGCCTCCTGGTCCCCTGCTCTTGACGCAGCGTCACCTGCAGCACCAGCAGCAGTAGGAGCAGCACCAGCGGCAGCGGCATCACCAGCAGCAGCAGCGGGGACGGGGGCGGCAGCGGCGGTGGGGGCGGGGGCAGCAGGGTTAGGAGGAGGCAGTCTGGGAAGAACGAGTGTGGGTCAATCCCCTGCTGCGACCCAGCCGAGAGTACCATCTATAGGGGACCCCTCTCCTCTCTCTGCCTCTGCCTCTGCCCCTGCTGCCGCGCCGTCGCCTCTTTCCATGCCCGCGTCTGCCCCTGTTGCCTCCCCTCCTCCTCTTGCCGTCGCTTCTGCCCCCCCTGCCGCTGTTCCCTCCCCTTCCGCCGCTGCTGCCGCTGCTGCCACCGGCGCTGCTGGTGTTGCTGCAGCGGCCGAGCCTGCCCCAGCTCCTACAGAAGCGTCTGTTCCTGCTCCTGCCTCCGTTGCCAATGCAGTGGCTGTACCCGCTCCTTCCACCTCTGCCACTGCTGCATCAGCCCCTGCGCCAACAACAGCCGCCGCTGCCTCCGCCTCCGCTGCAGCAGCAGCAGCAGCAGCAGCTGTGGCAACTGTAGCAGTACCGCCACCACAAGTAGCAGCAGCAGCAACAGCAGCACCAGCAGCAGCAGCACCAGCAGCAGCAGCAGCAGCAGCACCGGCAGCAGCAGCACCCGCAGCGCCGGCGCCTGCACGCGCGGCAGTGCTGGCAGCAGCAGCAGCGGCAGCAGCAGCCATGGGCGCAGGAACGATAGTGGTGGGTGGGCCTGGCGCTGGGTCTTCCAGAGGGGGAGCTGCAGCCGCAGCAGCAGCAGCAGCAACAGCAGCAGCAGCAGCCGCAGCAGCAGCAGCAACAACAGCAGCAGCAGCAGCCACAGCAGCAGCAGCAACAACAACAACCGCAGCAGCAGAGGCACAAGCGTCAAGAGAGCAGCAATCTGGGGCTGGTGCCGCTGCAGCAGCAGGGACAGAGGAAGGGCGGGGAGGAGGGAAAGGAGGAGGGAAACCGGGGCTGGTTGCAGCGGGCGTGTCGGCGGCGTCTGCGAGGAGACGAGCAGCGCTGGTGAAGGAAAAGGCGAGGTTGGATGAGCTGCAGCAGCAGCAGCAAGGGGGGGCAGAGGGCGAAGCAGGAGGGGCGCTCGCTGCGCCTTCGGCTGCGGCTGCTGCTGCTGGTGCTGGTGCTGCTGGCAGCGGCGGTTCTGGGGGTGATGCGGTTGTGGGAGGTGCAGAGGCAGGAGCAGGGATGGGAGCAGCAGCAGCAGCAGGCGATGTGGTAACAGCAGCAGCAGATGGTTCGGGCTCCAGCTCTCTGGCAACCTCTCCTGCTGCTGCTGCTGCTGCTGCTGCTGACTCTGTTCCCGCAACCACTCCTGCTGCTGCGGGCGCTGCTGTGCCAGCAGGCGCAAGCGTAGGCGCAGGTAGCAGCAGGAAAAGCCTGTCTGTGCGGAAGGGCAAGGCGAAGGGCGCGGGCGCGGACGCGGCCAAGAGCAAAGCAGAGGGTGCACAGGAGCAAGGGAAGCAGGTGCCGGAGAAGGCGACGGGCCTGGCTGCAGCACAGGAGGCCGGAGCAGGAGCGGTGGGAGCAGGAGGAGGAGGGGCAGTAGATGTGAGTGTACGTGCTAACGGGAAAGACGAAGCTGTAGCTTCTGGTGATGCTGGTGCTGCTGCTGCCGCTGAACCGGCTGCAGCTGCTGCTGCTACCGATGCCTCCGCTGCTGCTGGTGCTGGTTCAACTGCTGCTACTGCCGCTACCGCCGTCGCTGCTGCCGCCGCTGCTGTGACTGCTGCGGCTGCTGTGACTGCAGTTGCTGCAGTTCCTGCTGGGGATGCAAAGGCAAAGGAGGGAGGCAAGGTGAAGCGAGGCCTCTCTGCACGGAAGCCCAAGGGACAGCAGCAGCAGGAGAAGGCGAAGAAGGGGCAGGCAAGTGTGGTGCCCGTGTTACCAAGCAAGACCGCGAGTGTGGATCAGACGAGTGGGGATAACTCAGGTGTTACAGTTCCCTCAGACGATAGTGCTGGTGCGATGGTGGCGGTTGCTGGGGTGGCGGACGAGCGGAGGGACGGAGCGGTGAAGGGCGGAGATGATGGGTTGAGCGTGGTTTCGTGGGGCAACGGCGGAGGTGGGGGAGATGGTGGGGTGGAAGGCCGGGGAGGTGAGCAGCAAAGGGCAGGAGCGATCAAGGAGGGTGTGTTGCTGGAGCAGGAGGAGGAGCAGGCGCAGGAGCAGAAGCAGCAGCTTTCAAAGCGGTTCAGTCCGGCGCCTCTGGATGTGCAGCGGTATGACGATGTGTATGATGGGGAACACGATGCTGCTGCTCACTCGCAAGAGCTACAGCAGCAGCAGACACAGACGCAGCCGCAGCAGCAACAGGAGCAGCAGCAGAAGCAACTGCACGCGTACGCGCCTCCTCTCACGCCCCAGCCAATGACGCCGCTTCCTGTGTCCACAGCCCCTGCACTACTCTCCCCCCTGCGGCAGCAGCAGCAGCAGCGGTGGCAAGCAGTGGAGGAACAGCCACCGGAACGAGTGATAATAGAGGATCACCAAGCTGTTCTGGGCCTGGGGGAAAGGGAAGGAGGAGGAGGAGGAGGACGAGGAGGAGGAGGAGGAGGAGGAGAGGAAGGAGCAGAAGCAGGGGGGCGGGGTTTTAGGGGGAGAAGACTGGAGAGATGAGGATGATGATGGGATGCGGCGGCAAAGGGGAGGGGAGAGCGAGGAGGAGGAGGCAGAAGGGGGGACGGCCGAGCGTGAGAGTGAGCAATCAGGAAGGGAAGAGGTAGGGAACGGCGAGGGAGAGGAGGAGAGGGAGGGAGACGTAGCGGCTGGAAAGGCAGGCGAGGTGGGAGCAGATGGAGGGAAGAGGACGGATCAAGGCCAAGTTTCTCTGGCGGTAGTGGCAGAGTCTAAAGCAGGGAAAGGGGGAGCGGTCTCAGCACCATCGCCTAGAGCCCTAGGGCTGTTGGCAGGGCTAAAGAAGCTGGTGAGTCCGCGGCACAGCCAGTCCGCTCGGCGTGGGAGAGGGTTCGGACGGTCAGGAAGCTCTGGTGGGAGCGAGGGTGAAGTTGCTGCTGCTGCTGCTGCTGCTTCTCCTACTGCCGCCGCCGCACCCGCTGCTGCTAATGGTGGTGGTGAAGATGGGGGGAGTGAAGCGGGGGGAGATGTGGATAGGGGTGTGTGGAGAGAGGGGGCGGAAGAAGGGTTGCAGCAGGTGAGAGAGGGATTGGAGGAGGGGGAAGATGGGGAAGCGGAGGAGGAAGAGGAGGATGGGGATGAGCGTGCAGGGGGGTTAGAAGGGATGCTGGCTGGGAGGGGTGTGTTGCTGATGGGTCGCCGATCAAAGCAGCAGCAGCAGCAGCAGCAACAGCAGGAGCAGCAGCAGCAGGAGCAGGAGCAGCAGGGTGTGCGTTATGAAGCGGAGTTGGAGAGAGATTTGGATGAGGAAGAGAGGGGAGGAGAGGAGGTGGAAGCGGTAGAAGAAGAGGGAGGGGAGGAGAGAGAGGGATTGGAGGAGGAGGAGGAGGAAGAGGAAGAGGAGGAAGAGGCGGAGGAGAATGAGGAAGAGGCGGAGGAGGAAGAGGAAGAGGGAGAGGTAAGTGAATTGGAGGTGAGGGAAGAGGAGAAGGTTGGCGGTTTGGTGGGTGGTGGTGGGGAGGAGAGACAAGAAGCAGAGCGGATGGAAGGGGAGATGGATCAAAGAAGTGACGGGGAAGGTGCGGGGAATGAAGAGGAAGAGGAGGGGGAAGAGGAGGAGGAGGGTGAGGAAGTGGAGGAGGGGGATGAGGAGCAAGAGGAGGAAGAGGAGGACTTGTATTCTGATACGGCGGAGGGTGAGGAGGGTGTTACGAGGGAGAGCGGGAGGAGTAGTGAACGGAAGGAGCTAGAAGCAGAAGAGTATCGGAGAGAAGGGGCGATTGAAGAAGGAGAGGAGGAGGGAGAGGAGGAGGAGGGGGAGGAGGGAGAGGAGGGAGTGGAGGATGGGGGTAGAAGGGGAAATGGCGTTGGCGGAGGTAAGAGAGAAGGGGAATGAAGAGGAAATGAGGAGGTTAGACTTGGAAAGGGAGAGGGAGAGAGAGAGGGCGCGGGAGCGGGAGCAGGAGAGGGAGAGGGAGAGGGAGAGGGAGAGGGAGAGGGAGAGGGAGAGGGAGAGGGAGAGGGAGAGGGAGAGGGAGAGGGAGAGGGAGAGGGAGGTGAATGCGCGAGTGCAGCGTGAGAAAGAGGGTAGGGGAAGGGGCTATGAGGAGGAAGGGAGGGGAAGCCTGGATAGGGGTAGCGGTAGAGATGACAAGAGGGACAGAGAGAGGGAGAGAGAAGGAGAGGGAGAGGGAGAGGGAGAGGGAGAGGGAGAGGGAGATAGAGATAGAGATAGGGAGAGGGATAGAGATAGGGAACGGGAGAGGGAGAGGGAAGTGGAGCGTGGAAGACTGAGTGGGAGGGAAGATGATAGAGAACGGGGGAGTGACAGGGATAGAGATGGTGAGAGAGAGAGGGGGCCGAGACTATGGAGCAAGGGAGTATGGGGAGAGAGATTCTAGGGAACGAGACTTGAGGGAGCGGGAATTGAGGGAGCGGGAAACAGGAAGGGGTTTCAGAGAAAGGGAGTGGAAGGGCGAGAGTGAGAGGGGTCGGGATGAGGATTTGGAGAGGAGTAGGGAGAGGGAGAGGGAGAGGGAGAGGGAGAGGGAGAGGGATAGGGACAGGGATAGGGATCGGGACGTCGAGTATGAGAGGGAGAGAGAGAGGGAACGGGAGAGGGAGAGGGAAAGGGAGAGGAATAGAGGCAGAGATGGGCCGTTGCATAGTAGGGGTAGGTCTCCTGCTAGCAGAGCACCCAGACCAGAAGGCTATGGCCCGGGGGGCGAGCGCAGAGGGGATGAGAGGAGAGGGGATGAGAGGAGAGGGGATGAGAGGAGAGGGGATGAGAGGAGAGGCGCAGGGGGTTATGATGGGGAGCGTGGGGGAAGCGGGTATGAGAGGGAGTATGGAGGGGGTAGAGGGGCAGCGGGAGGGGCAGGGGGGGCAGCGTTTGATCGAAGCAACTCGTATGATCCAGAGAGGGAGAGGGAGAGGGAGAGGGAGAGGGAGAGGGAGAGGGAGAGGGAGAGGGATAGGGATAGGGAGAGGGATAGGGATAGGGATAGGGGCGGTTCTGCAACGTACGATCGGGAGAGGGATCGAGCTGGAGGGCCGTATGACCGTGACAGGGAGAGGCAAAGAGAGCGAGAGAGGGAGAGGGAAAGAGAGAGGGAGAGGGAACGGGGAGGTCCAGGTTCAATGTACGACCAGCAACCCGTCACTCCTCCTCCCCATGCTGACAAATCATCATCAGCAGCAGCAGCAGCAGCAGCAGCAGCAGCATTCGGCCAACTGGGATAGGGAGAGTGAAAGGGACTACCGGCATGGGCCGGGGGGAGGAGGCGGAGCAGGGGGAGGAGGAGGGTACGATGGAGGGATTGAGTACCGTCGGACCAACACGGGTCACAGCGAGAAGGACTTTGAAACAGGCGCAGGGGCGTATGGAGCAGGAGGAGGAGGAGGAGGATACGGGCCTATGGGTGCTACTGCTGCTGCTGGCCCTGGTGGTGCTGGCATGGCAGGGATGGGAGGGGGTGGGCCGGGTGGAGCGGCAGGAGCAGGAGGAGGAGCGATGTATGGGTCGGCTGCGTATAGGAGGCGGTTTGGCATGGAAGGGGGGGGAGGGTATGGCGGCGGGGATGTAGGTGGGGAGAGGAGGCGGCCGGAGAATTTTGAATCGGAGGAGATGGAGCTGCAGAAGCAGCTGTCGGGACAGCGGGCGGACCGACGCCGCATGGTGAGTGCAAAGGGGGAAGGAAGGGGGGGTGGGGGGGGGGAGGAGGAAAGAGTGTGCAGGGGAGAGTGGGGGAAGCGAGGGAGTGGGGGATGGAGAAAGTTGGAGTGGAAGGGGGGAGGGGATGAAACGTCTAACGAACTTCTCGTACACCAAATTTTTTATATTATTTTGCACACAAATTCCCTATTCCTAAAAGAAAAGAACCACCGAAAGGAAAGAAACGAAAAGAAAGGAACAGAAAGTAATGAAAAGAAAAGAAAAGAAAAAAAAGAAAAAGCCCTTCCATCAAATGAATTTCTTCTTTTCTATGGTTGTCGGGTCAAGCCAGGCCGGCCCCATAGGTTTGGTCGGGCCGAGGTGGGTAAAGCTTCCTTACAGGCCTGACCCACCTTCCTCACTCCCGCCCTCCCTTCCCCACTCCCGCCCTCCCTTCCCAACTCCCTCGTTTCCCCCCTCCCTCCTTCCCTCCTGTTCTCCCTCCCTTCCTGCTTCAATCCCTCCCACCTCTCCGTTCCTGTTCCATCATGTGCCCATTGCCTCTCCTCCCCTCCTCTCTGCCCATCTTCCTCCTCTCTCAACCACCCTCTCCCCTGCTTTACACACACACGTTCCTCCTCCCCTCCCCTTCTTCCCCCGTCCCTCCCCTCCCCCACCCCCGTCCCTCCATGCAACAGGAGGCGATGAGGAAGCAGCAGATGCAGGGGCAGCAGGGCAGGGGAGGCGTGCCAGCAGGCTGGGCCAAGCCCAAGTGGTCAGACAAAGACGCTGCAAACCCCCATGCCGCTGCCGCCGCCGCCGCCGCTGGCGGTGCTGCTGGTGCTGCTGCTGGCGGTGCGTTCGGCGCCTATGCCATGTTTGGAAACTTCTCCGGAGCACCCCCAGGCGCGGCCGGTGAGCAGCGGCAGGAGGAGGAGCGGGCGGGGGCGCTGGTAACCCTATGGGTGCTGCAGGAGTGGCAGCGGGTGGTAACCCCATGGTTCCGCCTGCGTTCATTCCCATGGGTCCTCTCGGGCCGATGATTCCCGTAGCGCCCATGGGGGGTGTGCCTATGGCAGGGTATGGCCCTGGGGGAATGATGCCTGGGCAGATGATGCCTGGGCAGATGATGCCAGGAGGAGTCATGCCTGGGGGAGGGATGCCCGGTCGCATGCAGGGAATGCAGGGAATGCAGGGCATGCAGGGAATGCCCGGAGGGATGCCCGGCAGGCCGGGAATGCCGGGAATGCCGTATGGTGCTCCTCCCGGCTCTGCTGCTGGTGCCGCTGGTGGTGCTGCGGGTGGGTCGTTGCTGTCGCAGAGAGCAGCAGCAGAAGAGCTTCGATCGGAGATCACGGAGCAGCGCTCTCTCTATTCTCAGCGCCTCTCTGTTGCTCTCACCCGAAGAGCCAGCCTCGGGTCGTATGAGAACGATGGGTCGGGGGGAACACACACGGGCGATGGTGTCGATCGGGAGAATCTGCACCGTACGTTTTCAGGGTACGGGGGGTATGGGGGGGGCGTGCCCCCGGCTATGGTTAGGGGGACTCCGCCTAGGTATGGCATGGGGGGGAGGAGGCTGGGCGGGGGGCCGGGGGGAGGGGGAGGGGGCGGAGGGGTGGGTTATGCTGCGAGTGTGGGGGGAGGGTATGTGGCTAGTGTGGGGGGATATGGGGAAGGAGGAGCGGGTTCGCTCAGTCGAATGAGCTCTGGCGATTGGTCGGATTTGCAGGACACGCAGAGTGATATTGGGTATGGGGGGGGTGGGGGGAGGGGAGGCGGGTACGGGGGGAGGGAGAGGGAAGGCGGGGGGTACTACGGGGGAGGGGTAGCAGGAGGGGGAGGCGGAGGGGGACCGGGGTCAGTGGGGGGAAGCCCTAGAATGTCTGGAATGTCAGACAGGCATGTGGACAGGAGGCATTCTGAGAGTGTAGCAGAGGAAGTGGGAGGAGCAGGAGGGGGAGGGGGAGGGGGAGGGGGAGGGGGAGGAGGTGGAGGAATGGGAGGGGGAGGGCAGAGGGGGATGGAGAGGGGAGGTCCGGCCCCCCACTCGCACCACATGTACGGGCACCAGGATCGGGTCGGGGGGATCTATCAGGAGAGAGGTGCGTATGGACGCAGCCCCTCCCTGGGGCCTAGAGGGGGCGGTGGCAGTGGTAGCAGCGGCAGCGGGTACGGGCCGACAGGGGTGGGAGGGGGCGGGGGAGGGGGAGGGGGTGGGGGAGGAGGGAGGGGGGAGCATTACTGGCGGGGCAGGAGCTCGGAGGAGGAGGAGGAGTATTTGGAGAAGCACAGGGGCGGCGAGGGAGTGGGAGGAGGGGGAGGAGGGGGGGACTGGGTGGAGTCGCCTGGAGGCAGCACCACAGGGTCAGTGCACAGTCACCAGATCAGGGAGGGAGTGAGGGAGGACTATGGCGCCGATGGCAGCGGCAGGCACAGGGGGGGAGGCTACGGCGGCATGGCAAGCGGGGGGGGGCGGGGGCGGGGGCGGGGGCGGGGGCGGAGGAGGAGGGGGGTACGCGCCTCATGGGGCGAGGGAGCTGCAGAGGCGAGCTAGCGACTCCCCTCACGGGCTGGGAGCGGTGGCCGTGGGAGGGGGGCCAGCGGGGGAAGATCCGCGGTCTCTGCGCAGGCAGGCAGGGGGGAGTTCCATCGGCATTACCACCTCCACTGGGTATTCCACATCTCCTGCGCTTCTCCCCCTCGGGGCTGGCCCTGGGGTTCCCCTCGAGGATGGGTTTGCTGAGGGGGCGGGCGGAGGGGCGGGCTGGGGGGGAGGCAGGGGCGGGGACGTGGGAGGGCGGGGGGGCAGCACGAGCAGCAGCAGCCTTGCGAGTGGGCCGAGTGGGGAGAGGGGTGCGGGAGGAGGAGGAGGAGGGGGGGGGTTGAGGACGCAGCTGAGTGGGGTGTCGTCGGTGGGGGAGGGGGAGACGGGGGCAGAGAGGACAATTGCCAAGGGTAGGCTGATGCGGCAACTGCTGTCTGCTGAGCCGGAAAGGCGAGGGGGAGGAGGAGGGAGAGGAGGGAGAGGAGGCGGAGGGGGGAGGCCCGGGAGCAGTAGCAGCTCTAGCAGCGTGCCGGTGGCTAAGTAAGGTGGGGAGGGGAGTGAGTGAGACGCAAGGGACCGTGCGGAAGGGAGAGTTAGTGATGGGATAAGCAGCACGAGCATGAGCATGAGCTTTAGGGCCAATGCCCACCATCTACGAGCAAGTGTGGGGGAAAGGGAGTTGGAGCTGTGTAAGGGCATGTGGGTGGAGGTATCAGCCTGGGAAGCTACTCAGCTGGGTTGTGTAACGCTGGTGTGGTTACCAGGTAATGCTTTATATCTGGTGGAAGAGGTGTAGTGCCGAGTATGGGTGGGTGGTTACTAGTTTGTGTTTTCTGTTTAGGAAGAAACCTCACTTTTGTAGTCGCCGTGTTTGTAGAGCTTGGTAGAAACTTCATGCAGGGTGTGGCTGAAGGAGAGTGATTTGCTTGTGAGAGCCTTGCTCGTTCTCGACTTGCCGTTTTGGCCATCCCTTCTCTGGAGGGATTTTTTTATGAGGGTAGGTGAATCATATGGTTGTGAGTAGTGCTTGTGGTTACATATGTAGAGATTCGATTTGTTGGAGAGCCATTTGGAAGCTGTAGGGTAGTTTTTCTTTTAATATATAGTAAGTGTTATATTTCTTGCAGTTTTGTGCAAGATTTGTGCATTTGGTCTGTCCATCTTGGTTGGATTTCGCTGCTGCTTTGCCGTCTTTTACTGATGCTTAGCGTTTCTTATCTGTAATTTCTGTGTGGTACAGTTGTATGGTTTAGGAAGAGGCTGACTGTGCGGATCGGCTTCTGGATGCTGTCCACGCGTCAGTTCATGGAAGGCTGAGTGTCCACGCGGCCCTGGATATTGTCATTGTGTACACGCCGTTTTTTTGTTGCTGATTTCCTCCGCAACACTCGCATTCCGGGGCAGTTTTCCCAAAGCCAAGAAAAGTCAAACTCCTACAACGAAGAAGGGTATCAGGGTAAATTCCTACCTCGTGTCAGACACGAAGTGGAGGTTTGGATGGAGGTTCGGAAGACCCAAAGTGGCCCACTTTGGGTCTTCCGGACAATGATTTGCTAGAGTTCCAGGTCACTACGGGTCTTCCTCAACTTCATTTCGTGTCTGACCTCATGTCAGACACGAGCCAAGAATGCGCCCTCAGACCCACGTTCCTGGCATTTCATCAAGGAGTGACCAGTTCTACACACGGTCAGCTCATGCTTGCGCTAAACGGAACGGAGTTTCTCATGTCACTAACTCACTTACATAAAAATCAAGTCCAAACAGCTGACATTAACACCAGCATCCTAGTGACAACCTCTTATAGCGTGCTGCATTCGCAATGCACTGCAAAGAAGGCACTGATTCGGCGAAGAAAAGGGAACGAAAAATAATTTGAATAGTTATTTATGAAGGTTATACTCGCAGATAGAAAGCTTTTGCGCGATTTTTGTGAAATTTCACGGGCTCCTGATTTCCTGGAGCCTTCCTGAACCCGTGCCCCGAGTCGAGCCGACGCAGTGGACCGCGAATTGCAACACGTCGTTAGTGTCTGTCCATGACTCAAACTTCCCAGCATCCCTCGCACGCAGGGCACTCAGGGCGCGTTCCTGGCTAGTGTCAAACTTCCGGCCAAACTTCGTGTTTTCCGAGCCAGGGGCGAAATTTTGCGGGATGACCCGAAGTGGGGCGAGCTGTGGGGCGAGCTTCGTGTCATCCTGGAAAACCGGAAGTTTGACACGAGCCAGGAACGACTCTCATTCTGACGTGTCGTAGCTGGAAGGTCAGTACGCGGAAACCAGAAGGCAGGGGTATCACGGTTTTTCCGAAAATCAGGGTATCTGGATGAAATCACACAGCCGACTCTAGATCATCCTCAGCCAGTAAATTGTTAACTTGTTGGGGGTAATTTGGTAAACCAATTCTCTCAAGCATTGCCTCCACGTTTTCGGCGAATCACTTTGCTGCTTGGTTGCGACAAGGTGGAACTGGCGTAGCCCCGCCATTTCTATCCTGGTCTTATAACATACTCCAGAAAAAAAGTGTAAACAATTTCGTGTGCCCGGGATTTCAAACCCCCTCTCGTGGAAACCCAGGGAAACCCTGCTCCCAAGCAGTCTCTCGCTCTTCTTGACCGCTGGCTTGGCTGCTCTCTGGGAGGTCTGCTGTAGTGTGAAGGGATGTCTGCTGTGTGAAGGTCTGCTGCAGTGTTGCCTTCTGTAAGGGATGTGCTGCCGAGGGATGCGTACCCCATCGCATTCGCTTTGCGTGCTACTGTGTCCTCCGCATCCATGTCTTCTGCTTTCACCTCTTTGAAAAGAGGCTAATTTTGCAACTACTCGCCTCGCCTTGTTGCGAACGCTATTTTCCCCGTATTGTTAGGTTAATTGATAAAATATTGCTTTTCGCCTTCTTTTGATTTGCCGAATTCATCGGGAACGATGCAGCCAGCTTGCCGTGTAGCTCAAGCACCGCGCCGTATACTTGCTCGCCGAGTGCGAACCAGACCGTCAGCGTCAGGCATACTTTAGCAGCCGCTAATAATCATTCCATATCCCTAGGTTGCACCTACTACAACCCTAAAGGGCCAAAATGGGTCGGCAAGGCGACGCGGCGCGAGGCGGTTCGGAGACCGTGTTTCTCGCGGACGACGATGACGAGGAGGAACGGGTCGTGGAATTCGACCCTACCGGCCGTTACGGACGCGTACGTGCTGTGACTCACTGCCAGCCTGTCGCCTTTGTGAAAGTAGACACTAGCCGTTACGGACGCGTACGTGCTGTCTGATTCTTCCAGCCTCGCAACTGCTTCGTGACGAGCGACGGTCGTAGTACTTGCTCACTTACTCCGTCCCCTCGAGCTACGCATGATTCTTCCCGCCTCCGTCCCTAGAACGGGGATGTTAATGTTTAACGCTTGTTCTTCCCAAAGGGACACTTTTCGAGCCCCAGCCTCATACCCTCCCGTCATTCACCCACCTCGCAATTCTCCCTACCTTTTCAACCCTCCCTATTCTCGTTTCTTTCACGCTCCTCCCTCCTCGCCGCACTTGCTCTCGCGCGGAATTACTCTAGCCTCATCGCATTCAGTTACGAGTAGAACGATTAGGTTAGCCACGTTTTGTTCTGTCGATCAGCCAGGTCTTGTTCCGTTCAAGAGGAACGCGTATCGAATCCTCTCTGAATTTGATATACGTCTCGCCCGTTTCCCCCTCACGCTCCTCCCACCATCGTCGTCCCTTGGGTGTCAGTCACCCCTCAACTCCTCCTAACTATTTCCGTCGCGACTTTCGCGTCGATTCCAAACTCGCTTCTCTCTTTCGCCAAGGCGTCATGCAAATACCTCTCGTCACGCTCCCTACGCATTGTCGTCGTGTCGCACTCGCGCGGCGCGGAACTTCCTCAGCCCGCCGCTCTTCCCTCATACCCCTGTTCCGCGTTACTTTACTGTTAAGGCGCCGCAAGTGTCGTCTTGTTCCTCTTTGTTTCTCGTGAATGGAGCTCTGGTTGTTCGGTTGACCGCTTGCGAGCGTAGCAGCAAGCGAATGCAGCAACGGCGCTGCTGTCTGCCACGTGGCTCTGAATCCTTTTGTGATCCCACCGCATAAGACCGCGTTCCATCCCATCCCATCGCGTCAATGCATGCCCGCCGCTCATTTCTGATGTGTCGTCTCATCGCCACCCCATTCCCCCCCTCCAACCCCCCACTCCCCTCCCCATGGCAGTTCAATTTGGTGCTAGGCAAGGGAGCCTTCAAGACCGTGTGAGTCTCTCCTTTCATCTCCTTCTCCCTTCCATCGTTCCCCCTCCCTTCCATCATTCCCTCTCCCTTCCCTCTCCCTCTCCCCCGCCCTTCCCTCTCTCCTTCTCCCTTTCCTCTCTCCCTCTCCCCTGCCCTTCCGTCTCTCCCTCTCCCTTCCCTCTCTCCCTCTCCCTTCCCTTTCTCCCTTTATCATAGCACTCCCTGCTCTCCCTGCTCTCTCCGCTTCCCTGATCTCCTCGGTACTGCTCATGTCCACCCTCCCCCTCCATTCCATCTGTTCACTCCCAACCCCCACCTCAACCCCCCACCCCCATCTCATCCACCCCCCCCCCCCAATTCCACCCCGTCCTTCCCTCCCTTCACGCCCTCACATCGTTTTCTGCCGCCCCCGCACTCACGCTCAAATCTTCCTCGCCCTGTCCTGAAGCTCCCTCTCTCCATCCTATGTATCCCCGCCGCCCGCCCCTCTCCCAACGAAACATGCTCACAGCCCTCTCTTTCTTCCCCTTCCCTCTCCTCTTCACCCCCGCTCCCCTCCCCTCCCTCTCCTCTCCCCCCTCCCTCTCCTCCCCCCCTTCCCTCTCCTTCCCCCCCACCACCCTCCGGCTATTGCCCCGTACCACCATTGCCCTTCCCGCCTGCCCGCCTTCCTTCCCTGTGCCTTCATCCGCGTTATAACCCCACCAGATACAAGGCGTTTGACGAGGTGGACGGAATAGAGGTGGCGTGGAACCAGGTGAAGGTGCGGGACGTGTTCCAGTCCAGTGAGGATCTCGAGCGACTCTATAGCGAGGTGCATCTGCTCAAGACCCTTCGCCATAAGAACATCATCAAGTTCTTCAACTCCTGGGTGGATACCAAAACCAAGAACGTCAATTTCATCACAGAGATTTTCACCTCTGGCACACTTAGGCAGTAAGTGTTTCTTTTTTTATTTATTTTTGGTGAGGGGGAGGGAAGGAAGGGGGGGGGGGTGGGGGTTGAGGGGGGGGAGAAGGAAGTGGGGTTGGGGGGAGGGGGGTGTGTCTCTTATTATTTGGTTAATCTACTGCTGTGGCATTTGCGTTATTTCTAGATGTATGTTCCATGCTCATACACCTTTTAATCACGCCATCTGGGTACAATCTCGTTCCCCTTCTTTTCTCTCCTTTCAAACCAGTCCCCTCCTCCCCTCACACCCCATCCCCCCTTCCCCCTCTCCCCACAACCACCCCGCCGACTTTCAAACTCCCCATCTTCTTCTTTATCCTCAGCCATAACCCCTCCCCCTTCCCCGTCCTCCCCCCTCCCCGTCCCCCGACCAAAACTCCACGCCCCTCTCCCTCCTTTTCCCCCTCCTCTCCCCCTCCCATCCCCTCCTCCCACCTCCCCCCCCAGGTACCGCAAGCGGCACAAGCAGTGCGACGTGCGGGCGGTGAAGAGCTGGGCGCGGCAGATCCTGCGCGGGCTGCTGTACCTGCACTCGCACGACCCGCCCATCATCCACCGCGACCTCAAGTGCGACAACATCTTTGTCAACGGCCACCAAGGGGAAGTCAAGATCGGCGATCTGGGGCTCGCGGCTATTCTCCACCAAAGGGACGCGGCGCATAGCGTGATCGGTGAGGGGTGCAGTGGGTGGGGAAGGTTGGGAGGGCCGGGAGCGGAAAGGGAGGGGAGGGGAGGGGAGGGGAGGGGAGGGGAGGGGAGGGGAGGGGAGGGGAGGGGAGGGGGAAGGGAGGGGAGGGAACATGTCATTTTGAAGTTTTATCTGTCTTCTAGGCTAATACGTATGTCTGGTTCCCACCCTCGCCCTCCCTCCCACTGCAAACCAACCGCATTCCCACCGTCCATGTCGCGTCACCCGTGCCTCTACCTTCTACCTAGCAACCCTTACCGCCTCATTCCCCCATCCCCTTTCCCCTCCCCAGGCAGGCACGCCGGTGTTCATTCATGGCGCCGCAGCCGTACGAGTACCTGCCTGCCAGTCCAGTCCCCACTGCTCCTGCCCACCTTATCGTTGACTCCGCACCACTTTCCCCTGGCTCCCCCTCCCCACCGGTTTCCCCCACCCCCCCTCCCCCCCTTCCCCTCCCCCCCGCACCCCACCAGGCACCCCCGAGTTCATGGCGCCGGAGCTGTACGAGGAGGAGCACAACGAGCTGGTGGACATATACGCGTTCAACTCCACGTGCTGCCAGGCCATCCCCAACCCCCACGCTACCGTTGACTTGACACCGCTTTCCCCTTGCCGCCCGCACCCCACCAGGCACGCCTGAGTTCATGGCGCCGGAGCTGTACGAGGAGGAGTACAACGAGCTGGTGGACATATACGCGTTCGGCATGTGCGTGCTGGAGATGGTGACCCTGGAGTACCCCTACAGCGAGTGCACCAACGCCGCACAGGTCTACAAGAAGGTCACCTCCGTGAGTGCAAGTGCTGCTGCTGCTGCTGCTGCTGCTGCTGCTGCTGCTGCTGCTGCTGCTGCTGCTGCTGCTGCTGCTGCTGCTGCTGCTGCTGCTGCTGCTGCTGCTGCTGCTGCTGCTGCTGCTGCTCCTGCTGCCACCGCTGCGAGTGCTGCTGCTAAGACAGTCCCTCCCTCCGCCTTCCCCGCGACTGTTTCCAGTCAGCACAAAAGCATCTCCTCTCCCCTCTCTCCTCTTCCCCCTCTCCCCTCCCCTCTCTCCTCTTCCCTCTCTCCTCGCCCCTCGCCCCTCGCCCCTCTTCACAGGGCAAGAAGCCTCTGGCGCTGCAGCGAGTGAAGGACAAAGCTCTACGCGAGTTCATAGAGCTCTGTCTCGCCTCTGCCTCTCGCCGCCCATCAGCCCGGGAGCTGCTCAACCACCCCTTCCTGGTGGAACCTCACCGTCCTTCCCCTGGCCTTACCTTCGCCTCCTCCTCCTCCTCCGTTGCTTCTTCTCCCACTCTCTCTGCCACAGCACCGCCGGTGGTGCCTGTGCCATCCGTGCTGCCCGCTGCAGCAGCAGCGGAAGCAGCAGCAAGCATTCGCAGCAATGGCAGCACGATTAGCAGCAGCAGTGGGAGTGGTGCTGTGACTGCTGCCTTGCATCCGTCTCTCTCTGCTCCGACTTTGCCGCTAGGAGGAGCACACGTGGCAGTGCAGGGGGCCGCTGGAACGGGGAAGGAACGAACAGGGGGGAAGGAGAGGGTTGGGGGGAGGGAAGGGGGAAAGGAAGCGGGAAGGGTACGCCAATCGCTCATGAAGTCCCCTCGAAAGGGAAAAGGATCGGTTGGATTTGCAGACAGGATTCCTGGTTCGTCTACCTCCTTTTCTGCTGCTGCCGCCGCCGCTGCTGCTGCTGGTTCTTCTGGTGGTGGTGGTGCTGCTGCTGCTGCGGCTGCCGCGGCTGCTGCGGCTGCTGCTCCTGCTGCCACATTGCTGCGAAGCGTGGAGGGCATGGGGATGGGGAATGCCAGCAGCACTGGGGCGCTTGCAGCAGCAGCGCATCATTCACCGTTACGCCGCAGCAGCAGCAGCAGCAGCAGCAGCAGCAGCAGCAGCAGCAGCAGCAGCAGCACTAGCAGCCGGCGCATGGATGGAATGAGGCAGGAGAATGCGAACGCAAAGACGAACACGAGCCCGGAGATGCATGCAAGTAGGAGTGTCACGCAGGGGCACAGGCGCAAGGGCAGCGGGGGGGCAGTGTCTGATCTCGGATGGCGAGGGGTGGCGGATAGTGCAGGGAGCACCGCAATGGGGAGGAGAGAGCACGGGGCAATGATGAGTGAACGGGGGTATGACAGTGCAGGCGGAGGGTGGGAGCAGAGCAGTAGCAGGCGCCTTAAGCCGTCCCAAAACGTGGCTTCTATGGCTCGGTATACTGGAGGAGGTGGTGGTGAGGAGGAGAGAGGCAGCAGGAGCAGCAGAGGCTGGAGGGAAGGCGAGCAGGCGGAGGTGAGGGTTGAAGAGGGATGGAGAGAGATGAGTGGGGCGAGGGCTGTGGGGGGTGGTGCAGGATGGAAAGGATGGGGCATCCAACCTCAGGGGTCTGGAGAAGGTTACTGGAATGCTGGTAGTACGATTGGAAATGGGTTCTG